TGCTCTCATTTAGAAAAAAAAAGGTCTAAAATATAATACAATTATGGATTAGAACTGTTATGCAGCTCAGTATTAGAATAAAGCAAAGGTTTTCCAGGTCTGTTATTATGCCCCGGAGAGAAAGCAAGACAGAGCAGGACCATGTGGGTGCTATCTCTACAAGTTCTACAAATGCATCCAACAGTGCCCCATCCCTTCCAGCTCTAACATTTCATGATTCTAAGAGTAAATCTTTTTTTTTTTTTTTTTTTTTTTTAAATTGAGATGGAGTCTTGCTCTGTCGCCCAGGCTGGAATGCAGTGGTGCAACCTCTACCTGCCGGGTTCAAACGATTCTCCTGCCTCAGCCTCCCAAGTAGCTGGGACTACAGGCACGTGCCACCAGGCCTGGCTAATTTTTTGTATTTTTAGTAGAGATGTGGTTTCACCATGTTAGCCAGGATGGTCTCGATCTCCTGACCGCAGGGAGAGGTGAAGCCAGCTGTACTTCTGGGTCGGGTGGGGACTTGGAGAACTTCTCTGTCTTACAAGAGGATTGTAAAGTACACCAATCAGCACTCTGTAGACAGGATTGTAAAACACACCAGGCAGCACTCTAGCTAGTAGCTAGAGGTTTGTAAAATGCACCAATCAGCACTCTGTAAAAACGCACCAATCAGCAGTCTGTGGCTAGCTAGAGATTTGTAAAATGGACCAGTCAGTGCTCTGTAAAATAGACCAATCAGCAGGACATGGGTGGGGACAAATAAGGGAATAAAAGTCGGCCGGCAACCCCCAACCAGCAGCAGTGACCCGCTTGGGTCCCCTTCCACGCTGTGGTAGCTTTGTTCTTTCACTCTTCACAGTAAATCTTGCTGCTGCTCACTCTTTGGGTCCATGCCACCTTTGAGAGCTGCAACACTCACTGCGAAGGTCTGCAGCTTCATTCTTGATGTCAGCGAGACCACGAACCCACCAGAAGGAACAAACTCCAGACACATCGTGATCTGCCTGCCTTGGCCTCCCAAAGTGCTGAGATTACAGGCGTGAGCCGCCGTGCCTGGCCAAGAGTAAATCTTAAAAGTTCACTTAGGATAAGCAATAGTTTAGTGTCTAGATCATGATAACCTTAATGTCAGAAAAATATTAGAAACTTCAAATTACAGAATTTTGTAGACAAGATACGAGACAGTAATCTACAGGATGTGTTTTTGTGAAACCTACACCAGGTTTTCTTAATAGCAAAAGCAAAGGTGAAGAAAAAATTAACTTGTTTTATTTCTACCACCTAGGTTATCTTCTCCCACTTCCTTTCCCCTTCTATTTATTTCTATATTTATGCATGGATTTAGCATATTTACAGACTACCAGTTAGTGCTTGCTATGGTTTGAATGTGTCCCCTAAGTTTTTTGTGTTGGGAACTTAATCCTCAAATTCATAGGTTGATTAGAGGTGAGGCCTTTGGGAGGTAATTAGGATTAGATAAAAGTTCTTAGTGTGGGTCCCCCATGAAATGACTGGTGGCTTCGTAAGAAAAGAGAAACCTGAGTTGACACACAATGTCTTGCTCTCTGGCCATGTGATGCCTTCTACCATGTTATGTCAAGAGGGCCATCACCAGATGCCAGCCTCTTGATCCTGGACTTCCCAGCCTCCAGAACTGTAAGAAATAAATTCATTTTATTTATAAATTAGTCAGTCTGCGGTGTTCTGCTATAGCAATGCAAAATGGACTAAGTGTTATCTTGGCCCTATCCTGCAGGAACTTTAATCAGAGCAGTGGTTCTCAAAAGTGTGGTCTCAGACCAGCAGAGTTGCATCATCTGAAATGTTTTAGAAATGTAAACTCTCAGATCCCACTCCAGATCTACTGAATCAGAAACTTCAGGGATAGGGCCCAACAATCTTGTTTTTAATGATTCTTTTCTGATGATTCCGATGCACTCTAATGTTTAAGAACCACTGACCCAGAGACACACTTACGATAGTTTTCATTCTATGATAGAGCCCCTACTGGAACCTATGATGTGTAAGAGAAGCACCCAGTGTGTTCACAGGTACAGAGGTGAGAAACGATGATATAACTGGTGTACAGTTCTACCATGAATAGAATGGTAGGTGTGGGGAGTAGAAATAAAGCTGGAAGAGGCATATAGGGCGAACCAATTTAGGACAGAACCTGGATGCCATACGATGGAATATGGGCTTTATCTGAACATTTATTCAGAATCACTAAAGGACTCTAAGCAGGAGTAACTTATAAGATTTGTGTTTTCAAAAGATCATTATGGTGCTATGGCAAAGTATAGGAGGATATCAGTTACACAGTTGTTGCATTAATCCATTCAACAAGCAAAATAAAATATTTATAGAGGCTCTAATATGTGTTAGGTGCCGATTACACTTACTGCTATAAATATGACATGACCAGTCTAGATATGACATTTCTTTTTTTGTAAAAGCAAAATTTTATATTGAATTTTCCCATTACAATGTTCATAGTAAAACTTAATGAATGCCTGAAAGGGAAAGCCTGTATGTGCTATCATAAAATTCAGATTGCACTTTCTATCTGCAAGGAGGTGCAAAACAAAATTACAGTTAAAATAGTTTTCAGAATTTTTTTTTTTTCTGTAAAACTATACTAGGGTTGGGCTAGATCTGTAAGACTAGTAACTGCCAGGTGCTATGGCATGCACCTGTAGTTCAGCTACTCAGGAGGCTGACACAGGATTGCTTGAGCCCAGGAGTTCAGGATCACCCTTTCAAAAAAAAAAAAAAAGACTAGTACAACTGTTGATTCTGGCCCAATATGCTGCTCCTGTCCAAAAAGCCCACCTATTTGCTTTGACACCAGAAAGACTGGCTGGGCATAGTGGCTCACACCTGTAATCCCAGCACTTTGGGAGGCTAAGGCCGGTGGATCACTTGAGGCCAGAAGTTCTGAGACCAGCCTGGCCAACATGGTGAAACTAAAGAGAATATAAAAATTAGCCAGGTATTGTGGTGCAGGCCTGTAGTCCCAGCTACTCGGGAGGCTGAGGCATGAGAATTGCTTGAGTCTGGGAAGTGGAGGTTGCAGTGAGCTATGATTGCACCACTGCACTTCAGCCTGGGCAACAGAGTGAGACTCTGTCTCAAAAAGAAGAAAAAAAAAAAGATTTAGGTTAGTATCTGAATCTACCACTTAGTGGGGAAAGTTACTTAACCTGGTGACAATAATACCTCTAAATGGTTGTCAAGCATATGAAAAGATTAAAAGGAATAACATAGTGCTTGCCTCAGTTACCTATTAAATGTTTGGTTTATCCTTCATTCTCCTAGTTTCCAAATCTGACGACACATCACTGTTTATTGACATTTTCTAGCATATTTAGTCACTCACTACATTATCTAAGGAGTCTTGTAAAATCTCTCCATTCCATATACATGGTCTCCATCATACTTCAGATACAGGAATCTACCACCTTCAGCTACAACTGTTGCTAAAGTTGTAATCTTCCTCCCTGCACATTTGTGTTTATCCTAGTCTATCCTAGGTACTTCCTAATGAATGATTTCTCTTCTCAAAAATATAATCACTATTTGTAAGCCATAGAATTAGGCCTGCCTTAACTCTGGTATTTACATTTTTTCAGTATGTCTTTTCCTTAGTTAAGCCTCTGCTTACACCGTTTCCTCTGACTAGAATTTACTTACCACTTCTCTATATGTTTTACTTTTAAGTCTGGCAGAAATCTCTTTACCACTTTAAAATTGCTCCTTTCTTTGAACTGCCATTAGCCTATTAGAGTAATAAGTGCATTATTTAACATGTACTGTTCCTATCACCAAAACCAGGTCAGAAACTTTGAAAGCAAAGGACTGTCTCCTTGTATCCCTGATGTTTAAAAATTATTTTGTGAATCAAAGGCAGGTGGCAAATTGTTACTGGAATCCTATTAGACATACAGTATTGTATATTATATAACACGTTCCTTCAAGTTGTAAGATCTTAATGATTTAAGTAGAAAGAGATGTGAAGATGCCAAACTTGGGAATTTTTTTTTTTTTTTTTTTAGACGGAGTCTCACTTTGTTGCCCAGGCTGGAGAGCAGTGGTCCAATCTCGGCTCACTGCAACCTCTAGCACCCAGGTTCAGACGATTCTCCTGCCTCGGCCTCCCTAGTAGCTGGGATTACAGGCGTGCACCACCACGCCCGGCTGCTTTTTGTATTTTTAGTAGAGACGGGATTTCATCACATTTGCCAGGCTGGTCTCGAACTCCTGACCTCAGATGATCCACCGGCCTCGCCCTCCCTAAGTGCTGGGATTACAGGCGTGAGCCACTACGCCCAGCTTAATTTAAACTTGTTGAATCTAACATGTTGCAGCCTCACATGAGGACACGGTATTCAACAAATGCAATGGAACTAAACTATGGCTGGGGTACAGAGCACGTATTTTTGCCATGTGGTTGTGACATAGTTGCTAGGATGATGTACACAAACTGCTCACATTAAAGCAAAAGTACTTACGTAATACAAGGGGTTTAATAGTGCAACACTATTTCTTAGCAACGTTTCTGAGGGGCATATCAAGTTATTATCGCTAACGTTACCATATCAGGAAAGGCCGGTTAACAATGCAAGAAACTTTTGGGAAATGCTATTTAGTGTTTGAGTCCGCAAGACACACTCGAACCCTGAGCATTCGCAGTTGCTGCTCCACCATCCATTCTCTCACTGCTCACCCACGTGCTTCTAGACACCGGCTTACCAAAGGACTAGTTTGCATCACGCGACACGACTAGCAGGCCCCCTCCGCTCATCTATGACATCCCAAGATGCCTGATTATTTTCCCTTCTTTAGGGAAAGCTGGTCCCAATCACCAACAAAACAGAGAAACAGAACGAGAATTATGTCTAGCGGTTTTCTCTGCTAAACTACTTCTTCCCTGAAAGAACACCGTTACCGCACGGCTTTTTCCTTAACGGTCAGGCATTTTCCCGGGCAGCTTACCTGCTCGGTCCGGGTCTTTCTGGACAGCAGGCGCTGGAGGTGCGCGTCACTCTCTGCCGCCGAATCCGCGGCTGCTGCCGGCCCCTGTAGAACTTGCGGCCTCGATGTCCTTCTCCCGGTGTGCCCTATTGTGGGCTCGGCTCCCAGCAGGGCGCCAGGCTGGCCACCGGGCAGCCATCTGCTCTGCCCTTCGCCCCCACTTTGGGCCCTTTCCCGGCCTTCTGGGGCAAGTTTCTGTCCTTGCTACCGCGTCCTCCTCTGCCTCAGGTGGCTCCAAAATCCCGAACACGTCTTTGTTCGTGCCCCTGACTGTGAAACCTCAGGGCCCCAGCGCCGATGGCGACGTCGGGGCCGAGCTAACCCGGCCTCTGGACAAGAGTGAGTGCGGGAACTACTGAGGGCGGCAGGGAGTGGTGTCTGCCGGGCCGAGACTGGTTGGGAGGAAGCTGCACCCGCTTCCCCTGGGGATCCGAGGTCTCATCGAGTGTTGTCATCGTGCTTCTCAATGTCTGCCTCCTTCGCTGGTGTGTGAGCCCCTTAAACAGCTTGGGACTGTGTCTGATTAATTCTTAACGCCTCGTCCCAGAAGCGGCCTTTTCCCTTTTACTGACTTGCTCTCTGAATGGTTTAAACACTCATGTGTTGGGAGGATTTGACTTTTTTTGAGTTGTTAGGTAGACGCCCGCTCTTTCTTGCATTCTTCTTTGTTTCTCTCCCGCCCCCAGAAGGGGAATGGGATGTGGCAATGAAAAGCCAGCGGAGACTTCTTTTAGGATTCTTTGACATTGAGGAGGCGCCGACTCATACCGCGCTGTTAGGCTGTGTGGTGGTTGCCAAGAGGAACCAGACTCAGGTCCCGATCCCCTCTTAAGGAACGTAATGGTTTCGTGGAGAATGACACGTGTATGGAAAGCGAACTGTAATACAAGGTAGAACATGGCAAGGTAGAACAAGGTAGGGTATCCCCGGCTCCAGAGAGAAAAGAAGAGGGTAGCATCAGTGAGTGGCAGCGGGCTTTGCTCAGCAAAACTTAAGTTTGGATGGATTCTTTGACAGAGAGGCATGTGAATGTTTTCAAGGTGAGTTTCGGGATGATTAGGGAGGTAAGGGAGTTTCCTCTGACCAAATGAAACTGGGAGGTTGAGGAAATGCTATCCAGTAATTGCCTCCAGGAATAGGAGGAGAAATGTCTCACTTCAACAAGCGACGTTGGTGCCTCCTATTGTAAATCTAAAATATAGACTACAATATGTTTTTCAGAGCAGAAGTACAGTACTTTCACTAAACATGTGATGGAACTCACAGTATATGTTATTCTTTGACCTGTTCTTCCAAGTCAGTGTTAAGCAAGGCCTTTCACTTTTACTTGGAGTTGGGAGACTGTCTTTGTTTCCTGCTGTTAAAACAGAATACCTGAGACTGAGTAACTTATAAGCAATAGAGGTGTATTTAACTCATGGTTCTGGAGGCCAGGATCTGATGAGGGCCTTTGGCTGCATCATTGCATGGTGGAAGGTGGAAGGGCAAGTGAGCCTGTGAGACAGAGAAAGCGAGCTGAACTTACCCTTTTTTTCCAGGAGCCCACTCCTGCAATAACTGACTGACTCCTGTGATAATGGCATTAATCCACTCAAAAGGGCAGACTCCTCTTGTCTTAATCACGTCTTAAAGGTTCCACCTCTCAACTGTTAAAATAGCAATTAAATTTCAATATGAGTCTTGGAGAAGAAATTCAAACCATAGCAGAGAGTGTATTATTTTAATAATGTAATTATACTATTATTTATTTTTAAATTGTAAAAATGCATAAAATTTACTCTTTTAAACTTTTTTTAGTTTTTTTTTTACTTTTTTTTTTTTTTTTTTTTTGTTTTTTTTTTTTTTTTTTTTGAGACGGAGTCTCACTCTGTCGCCCAGGCTGGAGTGCAGTGGCCGGATCTCAGCTCACTGCAAGCTCCGCTTCCCGGGTTTACGCCATTCTACAGGCGCCCACCACCACGCCCGGCTAGTTTTTTGTATATTTTGGTAGAGACGGGGTTTCACCGTGTTAGCCAGAATGGTGTCGATCTCCTGACCTCGTGGTCCGCCCGTCTCGGCCTCCCAAAGTGCTGGGATTGCAGGCTTGAGCCACCGCACCCGGCCATACTTTGTTTTTTTAGAGACAGGGTCTTGCTCTGTACCCAAGCTGGAGTGTAGTGGTATGATCATAGCTCACTGTAACCTCCAACTCCCAGGCTCAAGCAATCCTTCTGGCTCAGCCTTCTAAGTAGCTAGGATTACAGGCATGCACCATCATGCCTGGATAATTTTAAAATTTTTTGTAGAGATGGGGTCTTGCTATGTTGCCCAGGCTGGTCTCAAACTCCTGGGCTCCAGGGATCCTCCTGTCATGGCCTCCCAAAGCACTGAGATTACAGACCTGAGCTACTGCACCCAGCCAGTCTTAAATATTTTTAAGCACACAGTTCACTAGTGTGTTAAGTATATTGACATTGTTGTGAAATAGATGAGAACTTTTTCATCTTGCAGAGTTGAAACTCAAACAATAGTTTACCCATTAAAGAACAATTTTCCATTTGTTTTATATTATTTGAAGGCATAAGGTAATTTGGATGAGATAATTTGCCTTATTGTATTCAAATATTGATAAATTCTTATTTTCTGCAGCTATTCCAATTTACCTGAAAGTGTAAATGTCTTTGCTGCTTCCTGTAAGAAGATGGAATAAAGACATAAGTTTGTCAGCACTAGATTTTCTTCTGGTGGAGAATCCTTAGCTACTTCATTGGGTCTGTGTGCCAGGTGATTTTTCATCTCCTTTGACTGGGATTGGTCCAGATGTTGAATTTACTAGAATGATTTTTCAGCATGGCAGGAGGGGCTACAGAAGATGCTAAATTACTACACTCTGATATAGCCATGTGGTTAAGGTGTCAGATTTCCACTTAGCTTAGCAATTGGGACAAGAAGCTGTCACTTCTCAATCTCTTTTGCCTACTCATAGCCCAAAAAGTTGAAGTACTTAAAGGCTTTGTCCTGCGTCACGTCGCTGCTTTATTCTGTGTTCCCTATGGGGTGTCTCATTCTCGCTGTCTCCCTCACTAATTCAGTATTCCTCTCAGATCTTTGTCTCTACCCTGGACCTCTCTCCTTCGCCCTGGACGTATATATCTCGCTGCCTACCAGGTGTCTCCACTTGTCTTTCTTACACACACCTCACCTTAGCATGTCAAGACAACTTACCTTCCTCCTGGTAGACCTGCTCCTCCTTCCAGCCTGCTTCTCTGGGTGCTCAGGTCAAACCTGGTCGTCGTCCATCCCTCACCCCTACATCTAACAATCAGAGAAAGCCCAGTTGATGAATCTTGTTGATTCTACCTTATAAATATTGAATTCATTCATTTCCCTCATTCTCCACTGCAACCAGCTTAGTCTAAATTGCCAGCTTCCATCTTTTGACTGGACTACACATATAGCCCCTTATGTGTCTCCTCATATGCCTTTGATCCCTCCATTCAATTCTCTACCTGCAGTCAGAATGTTCTTTTAAAAAGACTAGGCTGGGCGCAGCGTCTCATGCCTGCAATCCCAGCACTTTGGGAGGCCCAGGAGGGTGGATCGCTTGAGCCCAGGAGTTAGACGAGCTTGGGCAACATGGCGAAACTCCAGCTCTACAAAAAATACAGAAATTAGCCAGGCATGATGGTGTGCGCCTGTAGTTTCAGCTACTTGGGAGGCTGAGGTGGGAGGGTGGCTTGAGCCTGGGTAGTAGTAGAGGTTGCAGTGAGCCGAGATTGCACCACCACACTCCAGCCTGGGTGACAAGAGTGAGACCCTGTCTCAAATAAAAAAAGAAAGATACAATTTTAATTTACATACCAGAAATTCACCCTTTAAAAGTGTATAATTCATTGGTAGTGTATTTGCAGGATTGTACAATCATCACCATAATTTTATTTTAGAACATTTTTATCACCATGAAAAGAAGCCTGATATCTATTAGCAAGTCACTCTAGTCCCCCAGTCCCCAGTATCTTTTTTTTTTTTAGCCCCAGATAACCACTAATCCACATTCTGTCTGTTGATTTGCCTGTTGTGTATATTTCGTATTAATAGCGTCATATAGTATGTAGTCTTTTGTAACTGGTTTCTTTTACTTTACATAATGGGAAATTTCATATTTTGGAAGCATTTTAATTTGAGTAAAGCAGCATGAATCTTATATAACATGGTAGTATTAGTCACAGAAAATAGATTAATTCTAAATAAATGTGATCTGTCTTTAGTTTGTATCGAGTTTATAGGTCAGCAGAATTTTCCCAAGCAATTGCACTTGCTTTTTTCCAATCTTTTATTTGTCATTGATTTTTCTACCCTTGATACCAAGAAACTGTTGGCCAGGCGCAGTAACTCATGCCTGTAATCCCAGCACTTTGGGAGACTGAGGCTGGTAGATCACCTGAGGTCAGGAGTTTGAGACCAGCCTGACCAACATGGAGAAACCCTGTCCCTACTAAAAGTATAAAATTATTCGGGCATGGTGCATGGTGATGCATGCCTGTAATCCCAGTTACTTGGGAGGCTGAGGCAGGAGAATCTCTTGAGCCCAGGGGGTGGAGGTAGCAGTGAGCCGAGATCGCGCCATTGCACTCCAGCCTGGGCAACAAGAGTGAAACTCCATCTCCAAAAAAAAAAAAAAGAAAGAAAAGAAACTGTTTTTCTACTCAGCACAAAGTAACAGAGACCCAGAAATCTGCCTGTGGTCTGAAATATAAATACACACACACACACACACACACACATGCTCTGTGTGTGTATGTGTATCTCATAGTTAATTGTGGGCAGATCTAGTGACTAAACCAGTGATTCTGAAATTTCCTCATTCTGTCAAAGTTTTGTTAGTGGGATGCTCTGTTCAGGCTTGATTTCTTCAATGAGTGTTGTGTGTATTGGACTGTGTGAAAATGTGGTTGGCACATTTGTGGAAGGTAAAAATGCAGACCACTTGGCCTTTCTGAATTTCGTGGGTAAAGGCTGTGTCCTCATTGTGGCTTCTCCTCCTAGAAGTACATAGTGTGTGGCTGAGTCAGTAAAATGTTTATTGAATAATGCTGTAGTATTTTAACATATACAACCATAATACAGTCTCAGCTTGATTAGTTTAAAATATTTTTACCTGTAAGATTATTGATTCATAGTGGCATGTTATCTCCCAATAGCATAGACATTTCTCTGCTGTCACCCATGACAGTCATCTAACCCTTGCTTGAGTAATTCAATTGTCAAGAAGCTCTCACTTTTCACTCTTCTAATTGTTAGGAAGTTCTTGTATAAATTCCACTGAAATCTGCTCCCACTGACTTTAGTTTTGCCATGTAGCACAGAACAAGTGTAATCTTTTGTCCCTGAAATCATCATCCTCAAACTTAAGATCAGCCTGGCTTCCTTAAGCATGAGGGTCTGGTCCTTGCTATATTGGTTGTCTTTCTGGATGTGTTTTAGCTGCTCACTGTTTGGATGTGCAGAATGGTTATAAGTGAATAACACTGTGGCTCTCTACGTATAAATGGCCTGGTGAAGGCTTGAGGCTGCCTCTGATCCCAGAGTGCATTGCTCATTCCTCTGAGGTATAACAGGGTGTTGCATTGTTTGACTTGATCATTTTTCTTAACACTCCCATCGCATATCAATTCATAAAGAAGGATCAACTGAAACCTTCTAGTTCTTGCAACACTCATTAAATTGCTGCCTTTAGTGTTACTGCTTCAAGCTTCTTTTGCCTTTTTTTCAGCATTTATCTAAGATAAGGAAACATGTTAAATTTTGCCATCTCTCTTCTAGATGAAGTAAAGAAGGTCTTAGACAAGTTTTACAAGAGGAAAGAAGTTCAGAAACTGGGTGCTGATTATGGACTTGATGGTAAGGCCCAAAACATCTTCATAGAGATATTTTATTACCTCTTACAGTACAGCTTGGTCAGGATTGTGCGACCCCTTGTGTGACCTGGAAATAAGTACATAGTTGTCGTCTGGAGACACGTCCCTGCCCTTTGCTTCTGGCTGGGTGGGAGACTGGCAAGGCTCACCTGGTGAGCTATACTGCACAGCAGAAGAGCTGCAGGTGCAGCCTTCCTTCATGCTGTGCTAGGACTTCAGTTTTAGCTCTGTTTTAGCCCAGATCGTAATAAACCAGCTGTACTACCAAAAAAAAAAAAAAAAAAAAAAAAAAAGACTCTCTGGTGAGTTTGGTGTGGTGTTTCTGTGTGCTTTTTAAAATGAGAACTAAGCCTTAGATCTTTTCATTTTGTGTTTCTACAGCTCGTCTCTTCCACCAAGCTTTCATAAGCTTTAGAAATTATATTATGCAGTCTCATTCCCTAGATGTGGACATTCACATTGTTTTGAATGATATTTGCTTCGGTGCAGGCAAGTGTTTAGAGACTTTTTAAAATCCTATTGAACATACATTCTATTTCTTCTCATACTTCATGTTCATTTCTCTAGAAGGGCTTATTTGGTTTAGAATGGGTCTGGTAACATCCTCTGTAAATAACTCAGTGCTTTGACAGGATGACTTCTAGGTTGTTTGCTTTTATGTTGGGTCCCTGAGCTAGTTATTACATCACCCATATGTCTTAGACTGGAGGAAGACTGGGGCCCAGTGAAATAAAGCTCTTATATAAGTTAGAATTAATGCATAGCAGATTCTGTCTGTTTCTGCCGCTGGCTTCCTTCTTCCTCATATCAGGACAAAGTTCTTGCTATAAAAGAAAAAAAAAATCAGAATATCATCATTTTATTCCCACAGGCAGTTTGGTTTTGGTTATGTATTTGACTCTTAGACCTGTATCTTGTGCCCAGCACTGAGGATACAACGCAGAATGGGACATGCCCCAGCCTCCTCTCAGAGCCACTAAGATGTGGAGAATTCTTGCTGAGGAACAAACACATGTTTTGCCTGTCTGTGGTTTTCGAAGTTTAAAAAATGTTTGTACCTTCATCTCTATAATGTACATGTCTAGGTTCTTTATTTTTAATTTAACTTTTGCCAATGCTAATCTTTGCCTGTTTGTACTAAAAGAGTAGAACATGGTGGTTGCTAGCCAATTTCCTGTTTTCCTGAAAATATAAATGAAATTAAAAGGAAAAATTAAGACAAAAACAGGATCCCAGAAAAGGATAAAGCCCGTAACTTCAGGACTTTTCCATTTTTGTTTTCTTTTTTTCTATTTTTTTTTTTTTTTTTGGACAGGTTCTCGCTCTGTCACCCAGGCTGGAGTGCAGTGGCTCAGTCTAGCTCAGTGTGTAGGCCTCAACCTCCTGGGCTCAAGCCATCCTTCCAGGTTGGCTTTCCAAAGTGCTGGGATTGTTGACGTGAGCTACTGCGCCTGGAGAGGACTTTTCTTTTTATCCTGGCAATGTCCCCGCACCTTAGCTTACTAAGAAAAAAGATTTCAGGCCGGGCGCGGTGGCTCAAGCCTGTAATCCAGCACTTTGGAGGCCGAGACGGGCGGATCACGAGTTCAGGAGATCGAGACCATCCTGGCTAACACGGTGAACCCCGTCTCTACTAAAATACAAAAAAAAAAAATTAGCCGGGCGAGGGTGGCGGGCGCCTGTACTCCCAGCTACTCGGAAGGCTGAGGCAGGAGAATGGCGTGAACCCGGGAGGCGGGGCTTGCAGTGAGCTGAGATCCGGCCACTGCACTCCAGCCTGGGCAACAGAGCAGACTCTGTCTCAAAAAAAAAAAAAAAAAAAAAGAAAAAAGGATTTCACTAAATTTAGTTATGATTTTTATGTAGATTGCACATGTTAATACAGTATTTTATTTTCCAGCTCATGTGGATGATTTATTTCCATTTTTCTTGAGACATGCCAAACAAATATTTCCTGTGTTGGACTGTAAGGATGATCTACGTAAAATCAGTGACTTAAGAATACCACCTAACTGGTTAGTTTCTCCATTTGTGGATTTGAAATTTTCAGTTTCTAATCTTGGATGATTCATGGTCATTATTTTTTTATTGTATTCTAGATAATAAATTATAAGGAGTCTGGATTAGGTTGTTTTCCTAAAATAAAAAGAGGCAATTAACTCTGTTAGGCAATTAACTGGTATCTCACCTTGATGCACATTGAGTGTGGTTTTAGGTTTTATTAGGGCAGATCTAGAATAGCCGTGACTTAACGATGTTGTCCTTAAGTCTAAGCTATGGCCTTCCTGGTGTTTTAGCTGAGTGCCTGGGTGTTAATGAGTTCTTTCCACCATGGCTGGAACTGCAACATCCCCTAGCACTTGAGACATCTTTGAGACTTTCCACTCAAACCCTTGGTAGGCTGCTCATTCCTAGACCCTGCCGATTCTTACCTTGTACATGGTTAGCCCAGCCCTTGGCCAGTAACTCACAGGGAACCCACACACAGACTTCTGGGCTCTCCTTCTATGCACCCTTCTCTTCCACACTCTGGTCTTCACATTTTAGCTGCTCCGAACTTGATCTCTGCTGCTCGCTTCAGTGAGACTGTCATATTCTGCTTGGGTTCTACCTCCTTATGCCTTACTGGGGTGCAGTATGGCTCATCCCAAGTGTTCTATTCTTTCAAGAATTGCAGTCCTGCACTGCCTATGGCCCATGTCCCCACACATTTACTGCATGTATTTTGCCCTGCTTTGTACTTTTTTTTTTTGAGACCATTGATTTTTAATATGTTCTTTGAAAAAGTACAAAAGAAATTAACTCTATAGGTCAATACAATTCAAGGAAAGAGGGAAAAATGGAATTTCAGAGCAAAGGTTGTTTAGGTTATCACATTCCCACACTCCCAATACCCATAAAACAAGAATTTCACTCCATGACGCAGAGGAACATTGAATGATACCTCAGAAATGTTGATAGCTGAGGTACTGAAATTAACAAAAGGATTTTGGTTGTCCTTGATTATTCTGTCCTGTGATGAATAAAATCTCCACTAAAGGACAGGTAAGGAAAACTTATAGCAGAAAAAAGACTAAATGTACCAAACACAGCAGTACAAACCACTCCTTGGCAGAAGTGTGCTTCTAAAAGAATGGAGCTGTAATCAGGTAGCTGAACTACTAGGCTACTGTCACTCCCAGCCCATCCCCAAATAAATAGTGTGGAAGTGTAATAGTGTAGTAGTATTTGATTCAACAAAGAAAGGCTTTTACTGCCATTCAAGGCAAACATTGCCATGGCTAGATGAGCCCTGGCAGGTAATAAGACGAGTATAAAATCACAGGTACTTCTAGTTTATCCCCAGTTATACTGAACTCACACATTGATGTCATCTTCTCTCATCCCAACACTTGTTCACTCTTTTATGCTGTCTCCAGTGCAAAAGACCTTGGGGAAATAAAAAGATCCTTCAGATTATATATCCTTCTCAGTCTTCAGGTTGTGTAATGCTTCAGTGCTTCAATGCTGTTCTAGGTTTACTCACATTCCATCAAATTCAGTTTAATTCACTTACTCTAACTTGAATTATGATATACAAACCCTGACCTCTAAAAGAAGTGTCAGATGAGTCTCTCCCTTGCCCCCAAAGTTTTGTGGGGCTCTCCCTTTTGTTTCCCTTTAGAATGGAACTGTGTTGCCCCTAGCTACCTATAGATGAGAAAATGTAGTTGTTTCTGGAAAAAAAAAAAGACTTGGATTTTACCAAGTTTACCTAAATTGGTATCTTTCCAATCATCTAGGCTGGATATTGCCCACATCTAGTAGGCTATACTCGCCTTAGTTCTTTGCAACATATGAGGCACAACATACATATATGTACTTTTTTGTTTGTTTGTTTGTTTTGTTTTTTGTTTTTTGTTTTTGAGACACAGTCTCACTCTGTCACCCAGGCTGGAGTGCAGTGGTGTGTTCTCGGCTCACTGCAACGTCCACCTTCTGGGTTCAAGTAATTCTCCTGCCTCAGCCTCCTGAGTAGCTGGGATTACAGACGTGTGCTACCACACCTGGCTAATTTTTTTATTTTTAGCAGATACGGGGTCTCACCACGTTGGCCATGCTTGTCTTGAACTCCTGACCTCAGGTGATCCTCCCACCTTGGCCTCCCAAAGTGCTGGGATTACAGGCATGAGCCACCATGCTCCACCTGTACTTGTTTTTAGTGGGAGGGCAAGTCTAGTGCCAGTTATTCCACTATGGCCAGAGGTAGAAGACTCCATTATTATATTTGTGTATGTTGGAATTCAGGGGCCTAGGAATGTTTGCTTTTAGAGTCATGTGTTTAGAGCTGTGGGAATGATGTGAACATAGTATGGAACTGATAGCAGTTTAAATTTATTTTTAGTAACCGCCGAGAAAAAGAGACTTGTACAATGGGAAAAATATCAAGACATTAATTTGCATTTGGGTTTTTCTGTCCTCTAGTTAGTAAATACCATTCTTGGAAACCAGTCATTATTTTAATGTGGATATTAAACCCATTGTTTAGTTTTTCAAAGACTTGATCTTGTGAATATTAAGAGGATATTTCATTTGGTATTTGTTTCATTTGATACCTTTGCCAGGATGGATTTTGAGGTTAATCGATTAAGCTGTTTACCTACTCATGTTTTAGGTACCCAGATGCTAGAGCCGTGCAGCGGAAGATAATATTTCATTCAGGCCCCACAAACAGTGGAAAGACTTATCACGCAATCCAGAAATACTTCTCAGCAAAGTCTGGAGTGTATTGTGGCCCTCTAAAATTACTGGCACATGAGATCTTCGAAAAGAGTAATGCTGCTGTCAGTATATTACCAAATATTTGCTCATTTTTTTCTTAATTTTCTTTTGTGGTGGGAGTGAGAAAAGATGTTTGTAGTAATTTACTGTTAACAAGAAATTACCATATTTCATTGTATCTAAGAGGCTGTCAATTGTAAGATGTGCCATTATTTTATATACAGTTAAGAAAGAAAAAGATGCTACCAACTGACTCTGACATGCTATCAATTCTAAAGATGCACCTTGATTTCAGAGATACAAAAATGTGAAAACATGTGCCCAGTACAATGAATGAAATACAATATTAAAGAACATTTTACGTATGTAGAGAAATGCAGAAAGTAACGTACAAATAAGCTTGAACCTATTACACCACCTCATCATATCTTAACATTTTGTCATACTTGCTTCACTTACTTTTCTAAGGAATAAAATATTGTTGCTATAGTCAAAACTCTGTAGTCCTTTGTCCCCTCAGAGTTAAGCACTACTCTGTGATATTTAATTTACCTTTTATAGATTAGCCCTCTGGTGCTGTCAGCTAAAACTAATGATAAAGACTGAAGCCACCTTTTCAAAACTGAAAGGACTGAAGCCCTGTGGTCTGAGGCATCATTTTCACTAAATGGGCTACATTTTGGTTCATTGTTTTATTATGACTTTATAATGTGAGTTTAACCAGTTTTGGTAGGTAATTTGCATTCTCTCTTTTTTTTTTTTTCCTGAACAGTTTGGGTAATTTACATACGTAATGCCTCTTTATCTGTAAATACTTGAGTATGTGTTTCCTCAGAACAGACTTTTACACAGGATATTTGTCTGAGGCAGGACATTTAATATTGATAGATTACTCTTACTTAGTACACAGTCCATATTCAGATTTTATCAGTTGACCATTATACCCCATCCTCCACCCTTCCAGGGTTCTTTTCAGGGTCTCACACTATATTTAGTTGTCACATCTCTAGTTTCCATTAATCTTGGACAGTTCCTCAGTCTTCCTTTGTCTTTCATAACTTGTACATTTTGGAAGACTACAGGTCAGTTGTATTGTGAACTGTCCCTCAGTTTGGATGTGTCTGATGTTTCCCCATGATTAGATTCAGGCCATTATGATGACCAGCCATCCCAGTTTGCCTAGACTTCTCCAGATTTAGCACCAAGAGTCCTCCATTCTGGGGGACCCAATAGTCCTAGACAAAGCAGAATGATTGATCACCCTGATATAGCATTAATATTGCTCCCTCTCAGGGAATTATAATAGGAGGTCTTTACATTCTTTTTTTTTTTTTTTAAGACGGAGCCTGGAGTGCAGTGGTGCGATCTCGGCTCGCTGCAAACTCCACCTCCACGGTTTACGCCGTTCTCCTGCCTCAGCCTCCTGAGTAGCTGGGACTACAGGTGCCTGCCACCATGCCCAGCTAATTTTTTGTATTTTTAGTGGAGATGAGGTTTCACCTGTTAGCCAGGATGGTCTTGATCTCCCAACCTCGTGATCCGCCTGCCTCGGCCTCCCAAAGTGCTGGGATTACAGGTGTGAGCCACTGCTCCCAGCCTGTCTTTACATTCTTAAATTGTATTTATAATGTTCTTCTCGAATATAGAAACAATTCATTTTAATGAAGTCAGATAGTTCAGAGATGTACAAAGTTAAAATGTGAAACTGCTGATTACCAGGCCGTGGTGGGGTCAGGCCGCTATATAGCCCAAGGCTACTTGGCGAGGCTGAGAGGCCTGGGACTGTTTGAACTGGGGAAAAGGCAAGAGGTTGCAGTGAGCCGAGGATAAGTCATTGCTACTCCAGCCCGGAGTGCAGAGCAAACTCTGTCTCGGAAAAATAAAAAAGAAATTAAAAATACCAAACCAGTTTCTAAATCGCATATACAACAAGAGTTGTAACACTGCACATCTCAACCTGTACCAAGAAATGTTGAAGCCCCTGTTTCCCATTCCCTGGTTGAACTGTACACCACTCTTTCCACCCTGTTCACCAATCACATTGGCACCACCCTAAGAAAGACAGAAAAAAACTGGATATTGAAATTAATGGCAAAAATTACGTTTGGATATTTAAACAGTGTTTCTCTCTACTTAACACCAAATTAACTTTGTTTCACAGTTTAAAACAAAATGTTTCCCATGGCCGGACACGGTGGCTCATGACTGTAATCCAGCACTTTGGGAGGCTGAGGTGGGCGATCACAAGGTCAAGAGATCGAGACATCTGGCCAACATGATGAAACCCCGTCTACTAAAATACAAAATTAGCTGGGAGTGGTGGTGTGCGTCTGTAGTCCCAGGCTACTCAGAAGGCTGAGGCAGGGAAATCACTTGAACCGGGAGATGGAGGTTGCAGTGAGCTGAAGATCGTGCCACTGCACTCCAGCCTGGAGACAGAGCAAGACTCTGTCTCAAAAAAAAAAAAAAATCCCAATGCTTTTTCCTTTTATAAAAAACAAATGTAAATAAGAGGCCACTCTCTTATACAACCTGGGGAAACTTGGAAACATCTCAATCAAGCCAAATCTCAGGTAACCAAAAGCCATGAGACACTGCAGCAGTTTCACATTTTTTTTTTTTTTTTTTTTTTTTGAGACGGAGTCTGGCTCTGTCACCCAGGCTGGAGTACAGTGGCCGGATCTCAGCTCACTGCAGCTCCGCTCCCGGTTTACGCCATTCCTCCTGTCTCAGCCTCCCC